CTAGATTCGTGTGTGTTTGTGTGTGTAATACCTGACGAATGCCATGGAAGCTGCAAATACCGCCCGGCGGCCTCGGTGGCATTGAACCACTTGGAGAAGGCAGTCCTCAGATCCCCGGACTGCAAGATTCAACTCGGCACGGCTTCCTTGCATCTACAAGGGTCATCCTGGTGGCTTCAGGGTTTTGAGGGCTCGATATACTCTCCTGATTTTGTAATATTTAGAAGAGAAAACCTCATCACCATAGGGCTGAGTTGCAATGCTGTGGCATGCAATGGCATGCTTGAGTTCACCGGGGCATGCACAGCACATTGCTGACATTTGTGTGCCAGCCACAACATGACAATCCTCGCATTGTAAGCCTTGGCAGTGAAATAATAGCCATGCTGAGCCTTCCACAGATGTCGGGGTGCAAAGGCTTTCTGGCTGCACGGGGTTTTGTTTGACCGGCGCCACTGTTGGAATTCCATGAATGCAGTCTGAAGGCAGGTCTTCAAGGAAGTGGCATCCCCAGCAATGTAGCCGCCGAAGTGGCCCTCACGTAGAAGAGCTTCCCTCGGATAATTTATATGTCGGGAGATATATAAATTAAAAGTGTTTGGGTTTAGGGTTTAGGGTTTAGGGTTTAGGGTTTAGGGTTTAGGGTTTAGGGTTTATAATTAGGGTTTAGGGTTTAAATAGGGCTTTTTAGAAACAAACCACGAAACACACTATTATAAAGACCTGGGCACAGAGCACCTCCACTGGCTGTATGCACTAGCCCCAAATTACAGACATGCATGGAGCAGAATCTGATCATAGATATGTCGAAGCCCCGGAGATCGAGGAAAGGACCTTTGTTAGTGCAGGGTTTGGGCTTGCAGGTTGCACATGCTATAGTTGTAATATAGCTTTGAAAAAATCTTATGCAACCAAATCTGTGCTATTTCGGCGGGTGATACTTCTGGCTCCGGGCCGAATGGCTCCCTGAAGAAAGGAATTCAGGTCCAGCTGCGAGCTGCGCCAGGCAGCACCGTCCAGAATGTCGTAGTAGCGCAAATGACCGTCACTGGCTTCTGCATTGCATAAGAAACACATGCGTTTCGAAACAGGGGTTCGCAGCAGCCTCAATGTGCGCTCATGCCACTTCCAGTCTCCTCGAAGTTCGGCACACACCCACCGAGTGCCAAAAGCGAACTCCGTGCCCGCTTTCTTGGCCTTCACCCCTGTCAAAGGGGTTCCATCCATTGCAGTTGCAGGGTATCGCCCTGTGAATGCAATATTGCAAGACCACACTATGTGTTGAAGCACCGGTAGCAAAGTCTTCAGGTTCGCATGCACCATAACTGAGTCTTGAATCGCACAAAGGAGCCACAGCCCTTCACGTACGACACGAGGTTTAAACAGTGTCAGCTGCAAGAACAATCCTGTAACTTTGTCCTTCGAGTCTTTGGCCAGCACAACTTCATCTCCATAAAGTGTGAATGGAACAATAGAGTCATCTGCAGCGCCCAAGTTTTCCGCAAAGGGATTTCCACGAGCTCGCAGATGCCTCCAGTATTGTTGCACTCTGTGCAATGGAGTTCGAAGCTGGAGATGGCATTGGAGGTAGTCCAGAATCTCATGTACATCCAGCACAGGGATTGTCGTCTGAATTTCCCTCCTGTCGACCCCTTCAGAACCAGTGCCAGAGCCCTCGTAGAGAGTAACCGGAACTTCGGTTGGTACCTTGGGTGAATATAATATTCGAGGTTTTGGAAGTGTGAGGTGGTCTAGGCATATAATATATATGATTCTAGAGGAACCTACAATAACCGTTATAAAAAATAGATATTGTAATCATGTGCCCAAGAAACACAAACCTATTAGTCTGCAGCAGGGCCACAAGAGGCAACTTGATCTCTTTGAAGAAATCACGGGATTCATTGCCTCGAGCATATCTCATCAGCCCAGACATCTTCTTGCCTTTGAAGTAGCGGCCAGCCTCCTGCATGCAGGGATCAAACTAAATCCAGACATATTGAGATACAGCACAGTAGTCGGACCTCGTAGCTGGCACGAGCATTCTGCATCGCAGATCCCACAGTATCTGCCTCAACTCAGCTGAGGAATTCATCGATCCGGATACAACAGCCATCCGGTGCCCTGGCTGCAGATGTATGCTTGTCAAGGTTCTCCATCCGATATTCGCTCCAGTATGTTTTGCAAGAGGCCCGAGGCACAATCGCCATCATTATCACTATCATCCTCAGAACCTGGCATGTGGACACAATAATTATAGGATCTGGGGTTTGAGGTACTTTCGGGTATCGATGCCGGAATGCTCGACCTCGAACTTTTGTTTCCCACACAGTCGGAGCAGGATCTTCGGGATGCTGGCATCGACATGATCGACATGACACCATATACATCAAAATTTGGGTTGCAGCATGGCGTTCGACAGGGCCTAGTGCACAGCTCACTAGTCGGCTGCATCACTTCCCCCACACACACCAAGCTGAGCATGTATGCCCTAGTATAGTCTGACAGCTAGCAGCAGCGCTTCACTTGTATGCTCAGCCAAGGCGTGTGTGCTTCCACTGGGATGCAGCCACACGCAAGCTGCACAGTGCCCCCGGCTTCGGGTCGCGGTTCGGGCTGGGGTATCTTTGAAAAGAGAATGCTTGTAATTGGTTTAGGGTTTATGTTTAGGGTTTAGGGTTTAGGGTTTAGGGTTTAGGTATAAGCTATTATAATTTAATAATTATATATTAGGGTAAGCTGTGACAAGCCCGGAAATCCCTTGCTAAGTTGCTATAAAACTTCTTATTGTAATAGCCCTCCATTTAATACCCATTTTAAAGTCCTTATTCTGAGAATAAGCTACTGACTGTAGCATAATTTGCCCTCGAAGCCCCCACATCCGTAGCTAGTCCTAAACTTGATTCTCTAGAACCTCGATCTAGCAGAGCCAGGTTGTCGCAGGCACATGCACAGAACACAGGCCAAGGCTCTTCCCTGGCGCACTTGAAAAAGCGGACACCCTCCAGCAGCAATGTTCCTCAAACCACACCATAGATTATTATGACCGATGCCTGTATCCGAAGCTTGCCTGACTCGGGCTACATCAAAATTCATTGTACAAGTACGAGCACTCATCCGATCATCGTACACCACAACATTCTAGGGTAGTGTAGTCTCAACATTCTAGGGTAGTGTAGTCTCAACATTCTAGGGTAGTCTAGTCTTCAGGCCAGCTTCTCATTTCTTCTTGCCGCCTTTGGGGGCCTTTTTTTTTTTCGAAATCCTTGTGGATCTTGTCGAACTTTTCCACAGCTCTAGTCAAAATGTCGGCGGCATCACTGATCGCGTCAACCTGGGGAGGGGTGACATGACTGATAAGGTAAATTTAGGGGTTTTTTTGCGGGTTTATGGTTTTGGGGGTTTGGTGTTTAAGGCATACCCTCCAAGTATAATATATTAATAATTATTAATATGCTGTACAGGTATCACAACAACATGGTTTTGCAGGTATGCGAATCACATGTGAAGTAGGTAGCTCTGTTATAATTATATGCTATGTATTCAACTATAATTTAATTTTGGCAATATAGGTTCGATTGGGGTTTTGATATAAACCCTATATTGCCTTCGAGAGAGACAACCTCAGGCCATAATTATTGTGGCCCAAATTTCTCGGGGCCCCGTGGTAGCACAGAAACTTGAATGGTATTTTGTAAAACCCATATAATATTTCAACTATATATATATATATATGATAATCTCTATGTTACTATGCAAATCGATCTTCAAGGACACAATAATTGAAGCCCCGGCTCCTTCTGCACAAATTTGCCCGACCCCTCAAGTATAGTATATGGGGTTCAGGGTTCGGCATTTATATAAATAGGCTGTGGTTGGGGACCTTAATAAAACAAATCCCAGGCATTGCGATTTCCAATTCTGCATCTGGCCTCATCTTCGTCCACCTTCTTCTGAAGCTGGGCACGGGCTTCTTGAAGCTTGGCAGCCTGCGTAGAGATGCATAGCTGGTTGCAGGGTTTTTTTTTCGAGGGCTGAGTGGGTCTGGGGGGCTTTGTGCAGTTTAGGCTTGGAGGGCTAGCAGTGGGTTTATAGTAGAACAACAAAAAGTATAATTTGGGAGGCTGCTGCAAGTGCATAGATCTAGAGGCTAATTATAGCAAGTGTCATGGGACCAGATTTATTTTGTGGTTAGAACCACATGTGTGTCCTAGATAACATCCCCACAATATGCCACAGCGCCTGCTCCTGGATGTCGTCTTTCATGGCTTTGAGCAGATGGTCTCCCCTGGCCAGATCCATATTGTAAAAAATCAGCATGCACTTCATGGGACTTGGTCATGGGTTTTGGGATAAGCTGCTGACATGCCATCATTCGACTTTTCATTCTTCAGCTTCGTGGCAATCTTGATCCGATCAGTCGCCTTGGTCGTGGCCTGTCACATGCAGCATACAAAGAGCCCATGTAGATAGGCAATTATGATAGATGAAGGCCTTGTTGGCTTTGGACTTATTCTCTGCCAGAATTTTCTGGTACTCCTGCTCCTCAGTAAGAGCCTGCACACAGGGCCCACAATGGAGAGACTTTCGGGGAGATGATTATATTATTATTAGTTCGATAGGGAATTCCCGGGTCTTGCAATCGGAGTTAATAATAATACTTTCAATAGGTTGTTGGGACGTGTACCTATAACATCAAGCATAAAACATGTGTGGAACTAGTAAGGGCGCAGGGAATTTGAATGAAAGCAACCTAGTGGCAATTATAAATTTGCTGACACATGTATTATTTTAAAACAACAAGTCCAAATATAGGATGTACGTATGTATTCTTTCAAATAATATTATATATGGTAGTGCAACACATATACTGATTTTATTTGTCCCCACCTGGGCAGTGTCGCCCTTAGCCTTTGCTTTGGCTTTTCCCTTTGCTTTCGGCTTCTTTTTTTTAGGGCTCGGACTTGACTCTTTCTTGGCTTTCTTGCTTTTCTTCGATTTCTTCTTCTTCTTTTTCTTCTTTTTGTCCGATTCCTCAGAGGACGAGGAATCCGAGGCACCTGTCGACGAGAACACTGTCTCGAATGCCTCTTCCTCCAGGTCCTCTTCTGAATCTTCGCAGAGGCACAGGTACTGCTTCATGGTGGGGACCTCTGGAAAGTCTCTGATCTCATCCTCGGCCTTCTGTTCGTCACTTTCTTTTGTCTCCACCATTGCCAAAGCAATCTTCTCTCCCCACCTTGAGCACATCTCTGTAAACAGCATCCATTTTCGAATGCCCCTGCGAGCACTCGAATTCTTGGATCTCAAAGTGGCAAGCAAAGTGGATTTTTTCCAATCCTCACTCGAAGACAACCAAGACTCGAACATGTAAGATCGTTGCCCTGCGTTCTTCCTGGCCTTTCGAGCGAGGCGGGTAATCTCGGGCGGGCAGTTGACACCTGGGCAACACAGCAAACAGCGGCTTCGAACAGAGATTGAAGGCAGGCAAAAAACAACAGAATCATCAAGTACGTAGGAAGTTTGATGAAATGCAAGATAGGCTGCTTTCCAGGCTGCGGTAATACCGCATATTTCTCGCGTGAAGGCGTTTTCTTCGAGCCTCCTTTGACTCGGCTTCTGGCTTAGCTTCGGCTTCTCCTTCTTTCTGATCTGTCTTCTCCTGCTTGTCACTTCCTTCATGAACATGATCATGATCAGTCTTCTGCTTCTTGTCGATGTGGCTGACAATGAGGTGAAGCTCCTCATTTGTCAGCTGGTCCACCGTATGTCCTCGCCGCAAGATGGCCTCCACCCGAGAACCTGGATCATCCTTTGACTCCTGAGGAACCTCTGCACCCCTTGTGGGTGCCCCTTGAGACTTGTTCCAATCGTAACCCGACCAAGAACTCCATAAATTATCATTCCAGGAATTCTCAGGGCCATAGGACCCCCAGCCCCAGTCCCACTGATTCGAATTCCAACTGTGATCCCACTGCCTCGCACTCGCCCAGGATCCATGATCAGACCACGGCGAAGAGATCCAGCTTTGATCGGAGGTGGCCTCATGGGACTTGGTGTACATTGGAAACCAGGGTACAAACTATTATACTACCTGCTACTATACTATAGGTACCACAACTACTCAGACTACTACTGCGATACTACTATACTACTACTACTACTACTACTACTACTACTACTACTACTACCACTACCACTACTACTACTACTACTACTACTACTACTACTACTACTCCTGCTGCTGCTGTAATTAAAGTTGTAGCCTACATTATTCATTATATAATATATATATATATATATTTGTTTATTCTATAAATTATTCATTATACTCTACTAGTGCTCCTCTACTCTGCTGCTGCTCCTCCTCAGCTTCTTTTTCGCACTATGGCAAATATTGCCATATTGCATGCTACAAGGTGCTGCAGGCAGCTGTTGGAGGGTTGTTCAGGTTGTCCACAGGGTTTTGGTGATGCGGCTTATAATGCTCTAGAATAGGGTTTGTGGGGTTTGTTCATAATTGTGTACCTAATTTTTTTTATAATGGTATAAACCTTAAACCCTGCGTAGCATTCCGTGAAGCTCACTGCAGCACGAGTGGTTGCATGCGATCAGCCAATTAGATCTCGATCGATGGCATGGGTCGAGGAATAGGTAAACCTGTGACCTTCAGCGGGCCCGTGCACATCTACATGTTTATATACATACAAAGTATATGTTTGTGTACATGCATGTGTGCATGTATGTGTATATGTATATACCTAGATGTACATGTACATATAACAAGTTCATTTTAAATGACATCCAAGGCACAGTGTTGGAACGGACCAGCGAATGCGATCTGGAACCACTGTCGGCCGATGCCTGTGCAGAGGACATGCACGAATCACGTACTAGCTAGGGGTTTTAGGGGCTTGAGGGTGTGAGGGATTGAGGGCAAGAAAAATAGCTATATTTATGAGGCATCTCAAACCAATATATTATTCTGGCCTTGGGCTCCGGAGACTCTTTCTTCCAAGGGCTCTTGGCTGGTCGGCGCTTTCCCACACTGCCTGGGCTTTTGCCTGGGGTGCCTTTGGTCTCTGCAGCAGGCTTCTCTGGAGTGTCTTTTTGCTTCTTGCCAGGTGTGGCTTTGGTTGTCTTGTCTGGACTAGTGGTCTTGCTGGGTGCAGCATTGGTCTCTGCAGCAGGCTTCTCTGGAGTGTCTTTTTGCTTCTTGCCAGGTGTGGCTTTGGTCTTATCTGGACTAGTGGTCTTGCTGGGTGCAGCATTGGTCTCTGCAGCAGGCTTCTCTGGAGTGTCTTTTTGTTTCTTGCCAGGTGTGGCTTTGCTCTTGTCTGGACTAGCGGTCTGAAGTGCAGCATTGGTCTCAACAGCAGGCTTCTCTGGAGTGTCTTTCTGTTTCTTGCCAGGTGTGGCTTTGCTCTTGTCTGGAGTCGTGGTCTTGCTGGCTGCAGCGTTGGTCCCTTCTTGCATGTCAGGGGTGGCTCTGGCGTCGTCCTTGGGCTTGCACTCTGGCTGGCCTGGAGTGGCCTCGGGCTTGTCAATCTCGGATTGCTTTGCTGGGCTCGGCGTTTTGCTGGGCTTCTGCTTCTTTGCTTCCGGGGTGCTGCTTTGTCCTGGCTCGTTGGTGGCGGCTGCCGGCTGCTCCTGAGCACATGTACGGTCTTTGCTTGCAGAGCTTGGCGTTTTGCCTCTCATCCTTCGCCGCTTCACTGAAGATTTGCGGTTGCTCCCGGGATCGCTGCGTATATTGGGTGTTGCAGCCTCGCGTCGGCCGCGCTTGCTATTCGGGGTCGAGGCCTCTTCCTGATCAGCAGCTTTGCCCGAAGCAGGGCACAGTCCAGGATGCTCGCGCTCCGGCGGGCTGCTCTGTTCGATCTTGCACCCAGGCTTCGCACCTTTGGGGGTTTGCAACTCTTTCTTCACTCTGCCAGCTGATGTCGCACTGGCCGGTTCCACGGCTTCTTTCTCCGCTGCCTTTGACTTGCCGCCTTCGAACTGAGTTCCTGCGAGAACATAGCGAGCTATAGCATATACTAGGGGGTATATACATGTAGATACATCGACACACATTTATCTGATCAGCTCCTCGCAGAGCCCTTTTCCGCAGCTCTTCAGCAGCAGCCAGGGCTTGTGCAACAGCATCAGGAGGCATGCTCATGCTTATATTGTGTACATACAGATCTAGAGTAGGATTGAAATTTCTCTTTGGGCTTATAAGAGATTCCAAGAAAGCATATATTGATTTGCAATTGAGGTTCCCTGGGTACACAAGACTCCACATGGTTCCGATAATCCCACATGCTGGAAAAGCTGCAGTTTGCAGCGGAAGCAATACTGAGTCTGTGAGGACAGAGAGTCACGCTAAAGTCACGCTAAAGTCACGCTAGAGTCACGCTCACCCTAATACTCATGGTGTACTACCTATAGGCACAATCACGGTGGAGTCACGCTAAAGTCACGCTATAGTCACGCTCCCTGGGCTGCCCCCGAAAACACCTTAATTTGTACTAATTATGATGAATTCTAAATCACGAAAAACCTACAGCACAGAATATGCAAGCAAAGCGCACAACCATTTGGCTGGCAGACTGGGCCATTCTAGTCTGGTGTTCCAGGTGATAGGTCGCAGTGGGGGCACCCACTGCATTTAATTTATTAATTGCAACTCGACATCACATGCCGAAAGAGTCTCCCAGCATAGGTTTCTGGACCACGGCAAATTACGGTGCATATCGGCCCGCAAGTTGCTCTTGCCGGAGGAATTCCTTGACTTCATCCAGATTTGCATGTTGCCAATCCAGTGGTGGCACAGCCTGCACAGAGATGACCCGACTTGGTTTGTTGGGGGAGCTATATCTGTTTCTGTATTAGAATTGAACGGTATATTAATTACTTATATATTATAACTATATATATATATACATACCATTTGAGTATAAACAGAAACATATGTAGTACTTTTACAACTGTGTCTATGCATATGAGTTGCATATAATACACACAGCTACACACACACACACTCTCACGACAGAGTGTGATCGCATGAAGACCTGGGGTGTAACTAGTTTATTGACATATGTATTCTCGTGTATCACACATGCATGTATAGTGTTCATGATCATGACTGATGAAACCCATAATCCCCGAACACCTTGGGCATCCAGGCCTCTGGAAGAGAACCCCCCAAACCCCTTATAAACCCTGAAACCCGGCTACACAACTAATGGCCCTGCTGGGTCTTCAAGGGTATTAGGCTGCCACTTCACATAACATGGCTATACACTTTGCAACTATCCTTGCTACTGGGCTACGATCATAGTACTGCAATACATTATAATGATTTTCGTAGAAATAATAATATTGTTAAACTCGCCTTAGCCACCCTCCCACCCCTGCCCAGCCTGATTCGGCCTCTGCAACAGGCACTTGGGTCCACAATCCATCTTCCTGTGGATAATCTTGCTGTGGCGCTCCTGGAATACATGGGGCAGTATTATCATATCTGCAGACACTCAGCTACATCGCGAGACCAGGTTGAGAGAAGATTCGATGGACTTCATGTGGAGCTTGTAGACTTTCTTGCAAAACTTTCGTGGATACTCTTGTGTCCTTTTCAATAGCCTGCCACCAGTCCTGGGTTTGCTCATGCAAATGGTACAAGGCTACAGATCAGAACATCGTATATTTCAGAGCCAAGGATCACTGCTGTTCCATGCTGCGTTCTCTTTCGAGTGACCACACCTTCTGAGGAAAGCCCGAGCCTTCTCCGACGTGCCAACGACAGTCTCTTGGCCAAACGTCCAATGAAGGGCCTCAGCAGGAATTTGAAGCTCATCACATGCTCTCTAGCTGCTGGTGTTGCAATTTGATAGTGAGGCATGGACAGAGTGCTGTATGCTCTCGAGCCTTTGCAGGAGAAGTGGCCGTAGTTCCCCATCCAACTTAGATAGCACATTCTTGCAGGAAATCAAACTAGCCCAACCGATCTTGCAGGAAATCAGACTAGCTACCTCACACCATATTGGAAAAGCCGTAAACCCAACCCCCCTTTTTCGAGCCTCTAAAGGGGGCGGTTGGGTGTCACTGGGGTGGATGGTGGGTGGGGTGGGGGGTGGGTTTGGGGGGGTTTGCGGGGTTTGGGGTGGCCCTCCCTCCCTTTTTCCCTCCCTCCCGCTAAGCCGCTAAGTGCCCCACAAGAAGACGTTGTGCACCGGCAGCACTTCGCCCACCACGTCAAAGACGTGCCGCACATATGGTAATATGTGCCATTTGGAACTCCAGGGCTGTTCGACCATCCAAAAGACCCGCCGTGCCACCAGCAGCAGCATGAGCAGAGAAACACGTGCGGAAAGCCTGAGATTGCACACGACATCAGCAGATGGATGCAGCACTCTTTAAATGTGCAAGGCTAGATATGTTGCGGCACCCAATCAGGAGTTCATGCAAGGCACAAGTTTCCCAGTGCCACATGAGGTAACCCCTCGTTTCCAAACGGGGAACTCTCACTTCTCTGTGCAGTCGCAGCATTGACCCAGACGAAGCTGCTGCATGGAACACCAATTGTGCATAAAGCTAGCGGTCGCATCTTTAAGACAGATCTGACAGCGGATATAAATCCAGTCCTTGGGATGTGACCAGCACAGAGTATTATTTATAGATGTCAGTGGCACTTGTATCCAAGGAGCGTGCTGCAGAGGTCATCATCGATGCGATATCGAACATCCATGTAGTCACTCAGCTGCACTGCACATGAATGATCGAAGTTGACAGCTTTAAAACCCATCCCTTCTCAACTTGACCTCAATACGTCTAGGTTAATTAGGGTTATTATAGGGTTATTGGCGGTTGGGTTTCGCGGGGTATATGTCTTTTCGGGTTTTTTGCTTTGTTGCTGCACTGGCTACACCCCACATACCTACCCCCAACCCACCCACCCACCCACCCACCCCACCCACCCACCCACACACCCACCCACCCACCC